ACGCAGTCAACCAGGAGCCCCTCCAGGGTCTTCGCCGGGGGGCCGTCAACGCGGAGGGCCCGGCCGCGCGCAGCCGCGGGCGCCGCCGGGTAGGCGCGGGCACGGACCGTTGCAGGCCCGGAGCGGGGGGCGCATGTCGCGCGTGCCCAGTGTGTCCAGGAACCGACCGACACGCGGGCGCCGCTTTTCAAACATGGAAAGACGCTTTCAAACCGAAAAAGGGTTTTCTACCAAGGAATAACTCCGACAGGAGAAGTAGACATGCACGGCATTTCCTGGCCACCGCCGACAGCGGCGACGCCGACGACGAGTGAACGGATACGGCAGGAGAGGACAACGCACCCTCGGCGTGGCCACGCGCTCAGTGGACAGGCCGTCGTCCACTTCATTAAGGTGCACTGTAAGTCTCGGCGCCTCCAGGTACGCTCCAGCTATTCTGTGAAGACATAGCAGCAGTCCACAAATCGGAGGATTACTACCCGACCAGTGTGGCTCTGCATGAGTTCCAGACGTGACCATTTTGGCCGACTCAAGGTAATATCATATGGGACATAAGTGGACTGCGCATCCAGGTAAAACTAACCATTGATGCTGAGTATGTCTTAGAACCGTGTCTGATATGGGCTCACGGAAGCGCGCTGAATGTACACTACTCGGCCACATCAGGTAGAATAGACAGATGATGGAGAAAGGTACCGTGCATAGTGCAAAGTGGTTCGATACACGTCAGAGGGAGTCCGATGGACATAGCAATGGTCCGATGGTAGCGCATTGCTCCCTATAGGTGATGGCGGATATTCAGTCATTCGAATGTGAGGTGAAGGAATGTTCGTGCCGCATCGGGTCAACAATGCTACCTCATCTGGGCCCGGCCCGAGGGTGGCCAGCGTACAGGCCTGGTCACACATGGCCACATGCATAGCCACGCCTGGTCACGGGCCCGGTCCTCCTCTTGGAAGTTCTTCCGATGCCGGGGGGTGTCGGAAATCCAGTGATGCCAGTCGCCTATGTTTTTTCCTTCGTTGGTTGGACTAGTTCGTGTGGCATTTGTCTGACGACCAGTCAGGGCAACGCGGATATCCGCCAGTACCTGCTGGTGCGGCTATAATGTAGTTTAGACTCGTCCCTTCCGATGCTGAATGGAGGTCAAAGGCGAATGTCCGGGTGAGCGATGCGTTTCCGTCCACCGTCTCTTGGAGTCAAGCGGCGCGCCACACACACATATAGGTATGTATATACACACATGCATTTATTCACATATATATATATATATAAATATATATATATATATATGTATCGTTTACATGGTTTGGGTTGCAACGGGTGAAAAAAACATTCCTTCGAGCTTGCACCTTCTTACATATTCCATCCCATATCCTTTTTATGTGATGCCCTTGCGCTTTCATTATAGTTTGGCCATGGGGCCCGTTATGTGTAACGTATTGTTGGGCTTGCGTCTTTGTTTTGTTTTTTTTTGGCCGGTTTGGTTGGACGGGAAACCGAACGAGCGACAACGCCGACATCCGTCCAACACGTAGTTACAATGTATGGCTTGGGTATTTTAGGACCCTCTTGCGGGGCCTCTTTGAGTCATCTTTTGGTCGTTTTCGGGACCAATCCGACCGTCTTGGGCCATCTTGAGCATCTTGGAGCGCTATTGGACCGATGAAGGGCACTCTTTGGACCGTCTCGAGCGCTTGTTTGGGCCCTCTTAGACCATATTGGGGCCCCCGCGGCTCCGGAGAATTCAAGCGGGAACGCACGGGAAACCCTTGAGCATCTTACATTTGTGGGCCCGGGCCCCGGATTATTTTATCAACGCCAATTGAGGAGTCGAAGAGCTCAAGACAAGGTCGCTCCAATTCGTGCCTCAGGGCACGGTGGCGGATCTTCTGTTTGAAGTGCGGTGGACAGCTTCAGGGGTTGAAGAAGATTAGAAGGCTAATTTGCGCTTTCCTGCTTTCCCAGAAGGCAGCCTCCCTGGCCTCTTATGCCAGGTGTTCGCATCCAAGTGTGCGTGCAAACGACCCATGCGGCGGCTTCTGCGGACGACCAGGCTGTGTGCGCCTTTGGGGCAACGCCGTGCCCTCAAGATCCCAAGCCGACAGCCCGTTCGAGTGTGCGAGTCCCCAGCAGTTACATGTTGCAGAAGAGTTGTGCCAGCCGCCAGCATCATCGCCATCTCCCAATCATTGAACAACTACAACAGGCGGTGAGAAGGGCGCACTGGATTAGCTTATCAACAAGTGTTCAGCACCGTTCTAGACTCGGAGGCCTGGAAATTGGCACCGGCACCAAGACAGGGGATTGCCTCCACAGGGGGAAGGTGTTCTTAGATTTTCGGTGTTGGTGCTAATAGTTCGGCCACCTTGGAAGCCAGAATATTACCACCATCACCGAGATCGGGATCTTCTTCCCTCGGTGGAGGCACACCGCCGAAATTGGTGTTGGTGTCAACCTCTAGGCCTGCGATAGACGTCGTCGTATGGTGTAAATCACTACGATTGCACTGCGCGGCATCGGCTCATCCTTCGGGGTGCTGCTAGGGGGGACAAGCCCTCCTGTACAGGAGGACTGGTCATCAGCCCGTACGGGGATGTCGAAAGGTACGCTTGGCTCGGGTGCCGAGGATATTCCGAGGGTATAGGAGGTAATGCGCAAGATTCGTAGCAGCTTTTCATGTGCGGTCGCAGGCGGAGGGAGGGATGGGGAGATTTAGGAAACATAGCGGGAGCGTGAGTGAGGAGTGGGAGGGAGAGAGGAGGATGGGGCATGACGGGGAGGAGCAGCACGGGGAGGTGGAGAAGGAGGAGGACGGAGAAAAGAAAGGAGAACATGGAGGAATGACAGCGGAGAAAGAAGGTTGATTTACGCCCAGCGACACACACCAGGGGCAATCTTGATGTTGGACGCGTATTTGATGTCCCAGCGGTGATTTGGGACCAATGGTTTAGAAACATTGGGCATCGCAGCAACGCCAGCGAAGCGTCTCCCAGTCCAGCGTCTTGCGGCGCCCCAATTTTGGCCAGTTTCTATTCGCTTGAGATCCCTCGTCGTTGTTGTCGTTGCCGTGGTTGCTATCGTTGTCGGTGCGCCTTGCCTTTTCCTTCCTTCTCTCACTCCTCATCTCCCCATGTACCGTTTCTCCTTCCCTCCCCCGTAAGAATTGTTGGCGCGGTTGTGAGAGTGAGCATGGAGTTTCGTTGGTAGGGGATAGTGCCCACGTTTGAACGCACTGTTGCCATCGATGAAATTGAGCAGCTTGTCTCACGGGGGGACCGACACGCATCATGCTTCGCGGGCATGGTAAATCAAATTAGTGGCGTGGGCGATTGGCTTGGGCAGCGTATTGTGATGGCCAGCAGTTGTGAACGAGATACTAGCATTACCATCGATTCGCCGAGAGTGCTGCTCAAAACGATCTACCCCCGACGAACCTGTGCACAAAATGCTTATCTAGTCCAGTTTGACAAGTTTGGACCTTAACGTGTTGGTACATTCACGCATCTTTGACAACTTTTATTGGCGAGCACGCGCACGCCAAGAACATGATGCACTCCCGACACAATGTGACAGTGTGACAGTCGACAGCTATGATTGTGACGACGAGTGGCGAGACAAGCTGAATTGGCTTCGTGCCATGGCCAGGGACAGTCACGGAAAAGGACCAACAGGCCCTCGTTCTTAATTGTTCGCGTATCCCAACCAGCCCATCCATCGGGCAGCGTGGCATGATTTGGGTACTTCGGGGAGCGTGGTATGATTTGGGTATTCCGAGGAGCCTCAGTGAAGTAGATGGCTCTTGGATGCCGATCGGAGTCGCTTGGGATGTCTCCTTGGGGGCTCCTGGTGGCCTCTTAGGCAGTCTTGGTGGACTCTTAGAGGCCTCCCATGGGCTTCCTGGGGGCCTCTGAGGGCCTCCCAGGCTCGTAGGGGCTTCTTGGGGCCCTCCTGGGATCCCTGGAGGCTTCCTTTGGACCATTTTGGAGGCCGCCGTTTCAGTAAGGGGAGTTCTTTGCTTTGTGCTCCCTTGTAGAGGCCCTGACATCACCTCTTGGTGCACTCCTGGGCGCTCTGGGGCCAGCTTGGAGTCCTCTTGAGCTCCTCTTGGGGCTCTCTTGGAGTCATCTTGAGGCCTCGGAAGGTCATCGGAAGCGAAACGGCGAGGCGGCACCAGCCATTGGTGTTCCTCCTTTTTTGGACAGGTCTTGGCCATTTGTGGGCGTCTTGGGCCGCACCCACGGCTATCTTGGGCCCGTCTTGTTGCGGTCTTTGGTTTTGGAGGCCGTGTTGAGTTCTTTGGGGCTTTCTTTGCAGCCATCTGGGTCACCGTGGACCCCACAAGTGGTCGCCGCTTCACCCGTCCTTACCCAGGGCCAGGGAGTAGGGGGAGATGTACACCCCTACCCGAAAGGGAAAAAGGCGTTGGACGAGGACGCGACCTAAACTACCTTCACCCTGAAGGGCTTTGGGGTTTTCTGGTGAGAGAGGCAGCCCTCAAGCTGGAGACAGTCCTCGACAGTTCATGCAAAGGGCAAGCAACAAGCTAAGAGACACTTGGTGGCAGAGAGCCGAAGCAAATTGACGGCGGCGGAGGGCAAGCACTATGGCTGAGGGCAGTGCCGAGGACAGCCTGGCCTATGGAAATCCCTGGCGGCGGGATGCAATTCCTTCCTGATGGGTAAGCCGACCACCTTCAGTGCAAGCATTGCTTGAAGGGGACATGCGTCTTCTTTGCCCCCCCCCCTGTCCCCTGTCATCCCCGTATCCGCCACAAAAACATACATATACACAACACCCGCTGGTGAGTTTTCCAGTGCCGTCAGAGAGGGTGGTGGTATGCGTGTAGGCAGACCATTGTTGAGATTCTGCGATGTTGTACACCGCCGACCCCCGTAAGGCACCAGAGCAACTCTCTGGGGATGTCTGCGTGTATAGGGTGTTGCGACTTACGGTCCTCTCGTCGTCCTCGTTCTTTTGGCAGTCATTTGCGCGCTCAGGGCCTGGGGCGACTTGCAGGCCAATTTGAGGGAGGAGCGCATGAAGAAAGGGGTCGGCATGAAGGCTGGACGCGTTCCGCCCCCTCATCCTCCGTAGCGTATTGACGCAAAGGGATCTCGGAGAGAGCTTCACCCCCACCCCCGATCGCAGGAGGAGCGTGTCTTTCGGAGGATGGGAGTTGTTTCCGATCAGGTCGGCTGGGCTTTCTTCTGGGTGTCGTGGCTGTGATGGCGATTCAGCAACGGAGTGCATTGGAGGTTGTCTTTTTGAGTTTCATATCTTTCTTAAGAGGATGCTATCCAAGGGGAGATGCCGCAGCATCCCTCGATCAGAGTGTTGTCGAGTGCTGTCGCCTCAGCATCGGCCACTCTGCCAGTCAAGGGTTGGCCTCGCCCTAGGGCTGGCCGCGTCCCCAATTCAGAAACAGGAGCAGATCAGTGCCTGCAACAATGTAAGAAGTCGACGGCATCCGTCGCAGATGTTGAGGTCAGAGGGGTGAGCCGAAGCTGTCACGTTGCCGTGCTTGGTTCTAGATTAACTTAGGCAGTCTACGACGTTCTGCCTCATCAGTCGGGGACATCGAAAATTGTTCCGACGACATTGTGATTCGCGAGTTGTGAAGAGATTGTGTGAGTTCAAGTGCTTGAATGCCAGAGATCCGCATGCACCCAGCCAGGCCAAAGGTACATTGGCCGATCGGCAATAATGAGTTTAAGCATTACTTGAGCCAAGTTCTGAGCACGGATCTGCCTGAGGAGAGAACGGAATGCATTGACGAGAAGTGCAACCGAGGCCCATATGACATCCCAACGTTCTCCATGGAGCAATTGCATCTCGCATTCCATGAATGCGCCCAGGCAGATGTTCAGATTCAGCCAGGGCTATTTTGGAATGACGTTTCACTGCGGGGGCGGCTTGGTTCAAGCTATGATGAGATGCTCGAATTATATTTTGAGCACTGGAGTCGTTCATCCCGACTGGCAGAATACTCTTTTCGTCATGCTTCCCAGGGGCGGCAACTAACGTGATACGTATCAAGACTTGGCACCCAGTAGCCATTCTGCGCGGAGCTTGCAAGATCTGCCGAAGTTCTAGAAATCACCATTTGTTGATCCATGCAGATTCCGCCCAGGAAATAATGTTGCTGACGCCTTCGCTGTTCTGGAGGAGCTCTGCTGCAAATCGTGCGAATGGGGGGCAAACGCTGTGGGTCGTCAGCCTCGAGTTGATCAAAGCGTTCGACCGTATTGAGCATCCGTTGTTGTTCAACGCGTTGGACGAGCAGGGCGTTCCAGCAGAGTAGATCAAGCTTCCTACCGGACAATTCCATAATCATGACCGTCAGCGGCAACGGATGTTTTTCATATCGCCGAAAGCGTCAGGCAGGGATACGTGTTGCCGCTGACACGCCGCGAAGCGATTCCAGAACCGAAAAATCCGGAGTGGCAAACACGTCGGGGGGCCAAACGATTGACGAAAATACGGCACGCGCATGGCTCGTTGTTGTATGCCACGATTGCGAGCGATACCAAGTTTTTTTGTCGAAATCTCGGCTGGCATTGAACACAGGCAAAGCCAACTTCATGGCTGCAGATGCGCTGACACTGCCTCCATTTGAGCAGGATCCCCAAAACCGCTTGATCTTGGCACGCGCAAGCGTTTGGGGCGGAGGATTCTAGGAACACGCACGGAAGGTCAAACGTCAGCACTGTCTATCGCATGGAATGCACGTGTGCTAAATACCACCCGAACCGGGCGGTCCTTCCCGACAAGAGCATATATGTCAAGAAGCAGTTTCGTTTCTTCGACAGCGCGGTCTCGCCTGCATGTATGGACGGTTTAGCCACGTGCGTTAACGCATCAACAACACATGAAGAATGTCACTACGAGCTCCGCCACGCGGCTCAAAGTCGTTGGCTTCTGGAGACGGCTCGGGAAAGAACAGGGAGAAACCGGCGAACGGTGCAAGCATCTGCTTCAGACCTCGATTTCGCGGCATAGCGTTTTTGATTGTCTGCAGGTAGTTGGCGGAATGCGACGGCAGCTACATCACACGATTTTCAAGATGATGCAATTGTGCCGAAACCGGTATGACAGTTTGTACCATCCGTATCCGAGTAGCAAACATTTCGCGTCATGATCAGATGTATTTGGCGGCAGCCTGGTGGTATATGTAGCAACTGATTGTCGTCACATTGCACCAGGTTGCCATTTATTTCCGTTTTCAGAGGTGTGTGTGTGTGTGAGTGTGTGTCTGATTGCATTGTTCCCCAAAGCCGTCTCCAGTTGATGGGCGCGTGTGGCCTCCGCGCGCGATCGGATCTGACCTGACCATTGGCGCCAGATGCCGGCGCATATGTTTGCGCTTATGCAGATTTCCGCTGTCATCGCAAGATGCAAGCATTGCGGGGCGCTCTTGTGCAAACCGTTGATGACCACGATTGCGCTCACGTGCCCGGTACAGCATAGTCAGGCGAAGACAATGTCTGGCGGCGCCTGCGGAAGCCCGCAAAACCCATTTTCCATGCCAGCGTGAATGGCGTCGACGACGCGAGACGATGGTTCCAAGGCTTTCCGAAACACATCTGGAGGTCCAGCCTTGTCGTCCAATGGTAAAGGTGCGGAAAACGTGCTGCAGCGGCCCTCAGGACCCTCGGGGCATATCCCGAGGCCAAGGCCCCCTGTCCAAAGTTATGACGCCAGCGGGCCGCGTGCGACGACGACCCCGACAAAATAAAGCCAATTAGAACACTGCTAACTCCTCATCTCCATTCCCACCCCGTCGTTTTTTTCACTTCTTTCCATATCCTTTTTTGTCTTGGGTCGATTACATGATGGCCCCGGTTCGGTTCGGTTCAGTCCAGTCGGTCCGGCGCGAGTCGAATTAGTCAGTCTGGTTCGGCCAGTCTGGTTCGGCCGCTCGGTTTGGCCTGTTCGGCCCAGTTCGGCCGGTTCGTTTCGGCCGAGTTTTTTTTAATTTTTGTTATCGGCCGGTTCGGTTCCAAGACGCCTTGCGTCATTTCCCGTGGCCATTTTGGCTCAAGCCATTTTGGCTCAAGTTGCCATCTTCACGAGGTGGCCAAGGAGTGCCAGTGCCAGGCCTGCCCGCAGGCTCGGCCCGCGACACAAGGGCCTGGGGGTAGGCCCTTTTTTTCTTCCCCTTCCCTGTGCCAGACGGAACCGTCCCCTTCTTTCCAGACAGCAGCTGCAGTTCGTCATTGCCCGCAGTCGCTCGCCGCGATGGTCCTGCGCAGCGTGCGCAAGTCGGCTGGCAAGACCGGCCGTGCAAAGAGCGAGGGTCGCCGTGCTGATCGCAGGTCGAAGCGGCATCGTGACAGCTCACATTCGCGCTCGTTGCCGAGGAGTTAGAGGTCTGTCAGTCGTAGCCGAGGGGGGGGGCTCTGACATGAGTACCAGCGGAAGTGGTGGCAGGCGCCGTGGCAAGGACAAGGAGGAGGTGTCCCCACCGGCCTGGGTCAAGGAGCTGATGATGAGTGCGCGGCATGAACAGCAACATCGAGCGGATTGAGCAGTCGATGACCCAAGAGGCGCACGACTTTCGCGGCGCCCTACAGCAACACGACCAGAACCTTGCGCAAGTTCAGAAGCGATTGGTGGCAGTTGAACACGGTTCCAAGAAGGCTATTGCGACGGCGGTGAGTGCGGGAGTTGATGAAAACCTCGTGGCCATCAACACGCAGTTGCAGGCACTACAAGCTGGTCCTGCCAGTCAGAGCGGCGTTCAGGTGAAGGTCGAGGCCATCGAGAGGAAGCTGAAGGTGATGTCGGAGCGCAAGGGCAACGGCAACTCTTCGGGCAGCACAATCGGTATGTCTTCGACGCGTGAGCAAGAGGGTACCTGCCGACTCATCTTGGTGGGCTTTGAATCGCCATTGATGGCTCGCACACTTCGGTGGGCTGCGGAACATTTTCGTGACCTGTGTGCGCCGCAAGATGACTGGCCGAACATCACAGTCAAGGCGTTTGACGTGTCGAGGAAAACGATACTGGAGTTTCCGACGGCGTTGAAGTGCTCGGTCTTCTTCAATTCGTTCAAGGCTCGCGGCCCTGTGCCGTCCCCGAGTCCATTGGCGGAGGGGCGCCAGTATATGTTGAGGGTCAAGCGCGACATCAACCAGCAGGGCAGGCGCCTCTTCCTGATCATGGGGCGAGTCCGCAAGGTCGTCACGGAAGCAGTCGGTGGGAAGTACGAGGTGGGCTCGAACGGCTTCGGGGGAGCGGCGTCTGCGCTGATCAAGCCCGAGTGCCCGCGCGCGCTGGCCCAGCTCAAGTTGAACGGGGGCGAGGTGGAGCACGCCATCACCGAGGCGGCCTTTGTGGACCTGGGCATTCAGGAGAAATTGCCGGCGGTCCAGGAGGCGCGCACAGCTTCCCTTTGATGGGGGGCCAGACGCAGCATGCACAGAGAAACGCGAGTTGGTGCAGCTGGACGGGCCTCGAATGGGGGCCGACGCGAAGATGTGGGCGACGAGGCCTGCTCATTGTTGCGTCGCGTTTAGTGCTTTTGTTTGCAAGTCAGTTCGGGTTTAGTTGCCAATGCTGTGATTTTTCTCTGCTTCCGCTGTGAGCTGCCCCGACCTGTCCCCGTCCTGCGACGCGGGGGTCGAGGGCGGGGCGGGGCCTCCGCGGCCTGCTGAGTCATGTATCCCGCGTAGGTACCACAATAAAGGTCTGAGATTTTCTCTTATGGCAGACCCAAATGGGGCTCCTGAGGTTTCCCTGAGGCTCGAGGCGCCCCTTGCAGCCCCTCCTTCTCTGCGTCGGTCTGCGCGTGGAATACCAACGGTCTCTTTGGGGGGATTCGTGGGGGTAGTTCAACATGTGCAAGGATGTTTGCGTACGCTATGAGGCTTTGTGCGAAATATGATGTGATTTGCTTTCAGGAATGTCATGGTCATGATTGTGGCGCGGTCGTGCTGCTACACAGGTTGCGTCGGGTTGAGATTGGGGCGATGTTCGACCCACTACGGCTGCAGGTGGAGTTGTCGCGGTCATTAGTGAGCGCTTGCGGCGGGAGTTTGATGCTATCGCGCGCGATATAG